ACGAGTTATTAGCTCTGCTGGCTGCTCTGTAGGAGTGCCGTTGAGATGTCAAACCCTCGTCATAATACTTGCAAACTTAGCTTTAACAGCTAAGCTCACATTTGTTCATTATAGGTAATTGTATCTCCTATCCATAGAAAATGATATCATGTTGATGACCCTCTAAGCTGCCTCTGAATAACTGCTGAGATTTGTATGTGTGTTTCCTTGCTGCCGTGAAGTATTCTGACGACAGTGTGTTTTATACTTTAGTTGCAAAAGCTTAGTATTTTGCTGGGATGTTTAGATTGTGAATGTAATGCCTGGAAACTTAACTCTGATATGTTGATTTGCTTGACTGCTGTAAAGCCAGTGTTTCTGAGCTTTGCGTGTGTGAATTTGGAGTTTACATTTGTTACATGTTGGATTCATTTCTGCTGAGCCAAGTTTGCTATCTTGGTGTTTTCTCTAAGTATAAAGGATTAAGCCATTCTGTGCTTCAGAAACAGGAGCGGGGTGCATGGGAGTGGAGGGCACCACTCCAGAAAGAAGAGAGAAGAGCTTGGAGCTTGCTTCTAGTCTCTTGGGTGTTGTTTGTTTGTTTGCTTGCTTGTTTTGCCAGTTTTTTAAAAGATTTGTACTGCAGAGATTTCCATGCCTCAGCTTCTTCTTGCCTGTTTATAGTTGCATTTATATATGGTCCAGTCTTACCAACTTTCTTTCCTATACTTGACTTTGAGCATCAAAACCTTTGATTCAGAAACTCTGTGCTGTTGCTTTCTTCGCCTTCTTTTTATTCAGGCTCTTTCTTCTCATAATCTCTGCATCAGTTTCCCTCTCTTTCTACTTGTGTTTCCTCCTTTACAGTAAACCCTCAGAGCAGTGTTTTTCCTCTGCTTGCTTTACCCCGTGGTATTTTCTGCAAATGTAGGTGTGCAATGAAAGCTGTTGCAGTAGAGTAACTACCAGAAGGAAAGGTCCTGCCTGTTTCAGCATAGCTATAATTGCAGTGCTAAATAAAAACCCTTTAATTTTCTTTTTGACTTGAGGAGTTACAGTTGACAGGTTTGTCAAACATGTTTATCTGTTTCAGCAGTGCATGGTTCTATCCAGTTATTAAGAATAATTTGGAAAAAATATAATAATTTGAAGGAGGTTCAACTTCTGAATAAGTATCCTGGACTTAAATCCTTGCAGTCATTTCAGTGAGTAGACTGTAATCAGCAGACTTGTCCAGCTATGTATTCTGAATTAAGACAGTCTTCAATGCCTAACTTGCACTGTTCGTTAGTTAAGTTGCACGTGCAGGTATTTCTGCTCTGATAAAGAGTGATGGATTCCAAGCCAATTAAATTTTTATCTTCACAGTTCCTGAATAGGAGACTTAACATTGCATTTTTATTGAAACTAAATTAATCTGCATCTTTAATTTTTGTTGTAGTATATCTTTGCTTCTTAATGGTAACTCTTTATTTTCTTATGTAGGGTGATTTAGCAGCTGTTGAACAGCTACTAAAAAATGGAGCTGATCCTAATGTCAAAGACAATGCTGGTTGGACACCGCTGGTGAGTATTGTAGGCTTTTTGTCATTTTATCTCTTGATCTATTTTTATTTCATCCCTTCCGTTTCCCTGTTATATTTTAGACCCTTTTCCATAATTCACTGTCACCTAAATGTATTCCAGGTGAAGAGGTTCTGACAAATAAGTGTAAAAGGAGTAGTTACTAGCAAATATTTTTCCTGCCCAAATCCACCTTCCCTTTGCTAGGGCGGGACATTTAAACAAGTTTGTCAGTTTGTGATTCTGCAATTTTTACCCATGCCTGTTTTCTGCAGTGAGTGCACTTCATGGATTCTTAATGCCCTCCGCTGTTCTTTCCATTTTCGAAGTGTATGAAGAGGCGGAATGAAGAGACTTGCACACTTGAATTAAAGCAAATAAATAAAGGTCTCTTTCCAGACGTAATTTCCTTCTTTTTGAAGCGCGCCCTTGACCAAGTCTGTTATCTGGGAGGCTTTTTTTCTCTAGTCTGATTTGCATTTGGTTGGTCTTTATTTAGCTCCTTTTTCATGCTTTTGGAGTACCAGATTCCAAACTTAATTCAGATTAGGAATGTAGTGCAGTGTTTTTGCATTGGCTTCCTCGACCATCTACTGAGAGATATTTAAAAAATGAGTGTTCAACTTGTGCAACAGAGATGCTCCCTCTTAATTCTGTTTCATTTGAGTTTTCTGATCACTACTTATGGATCTCCTCACCTAGCACGAGGCATGTAACCATGGGCACAAGGAGGTGGTGGAGCTGTTGCTACAGCACAGAGCACTGGTGAATACTACTGGCTATCAGAATGACTCCCCACTTCATGATGCTGCCAAGAACGGGCACGTGAGCGTGGTCGAACTGCTGCTTTTGCATGGGGCATCCCGCGATGCAGTGTGAGTAATGGGAAAAGTTGTTATTTTAACTGCAGGATTAGCTGCACATGTGGAATGTGTTTGGTTAAATATGAAACAAAGCTATTACTACATTATATGCATTTTACTGTTCTGTGTGTGTGTGGTAAATGTTAAACACTGTATGCTCCACTATGCTTGTGCCCCCCTTTTTGAAGTCCTTGAAATGCTTTTGTTTGTTTGTTTGTTTGTTTTTTTATTTTTAAAACTTTACCCATGTGTTTGTAAAAAGCTTAATTATAATTCTTAGTGAATTTTGTTTTGCTAAGCTTCCTGAAGATTTTAGCACTTACATATGGAGGTACTAAAGCATCTGTTAATTTGTGAATAACCCAGTGAACTACCAGTATTGCAGGCACTAAATATCGTTTTAGATCTTGGAAGTACTACGGTGCCAGAAACTGCATAAAACTTAAATTTGGGTCAAATGAGTGCTGTCAATTAGGAGTGTAGACATAGTAGCATGATGGTAGGATGCAATTTTGCATGACATGAATTTCCTTGCCAGCTGCATGAAGGGGATACACAAGTTTAGCTTAATCACTTCAGCTGCTTTCACAATATTTCATTTTGAAACTTACAGAAATAAGGTTTTCTACTGTAAAGCGTGGAGTTTTCAAAAATGGTCTTGAATATAGTAGAGTAAGGAAACTTAAGCTTGAAAAAGTAAAGGATCAATTGTCATCCTCACTGTCATCTCGAACAACAAAGACCAGCACATTATACCTGAAAAAGCTGACAACTTCAGAAGCTAATTTTCCAGCCACTTGAGCATCTCTGACTGTTTGTGTGACACTTATCACTTCTCTATTTGGTATTTTAAAGTATTGCACAGACAACAGCTTTGCAACTCCTTGACAGGGCTTGGGCACTGGCAGATTTAACGCTGCAGAGCCTCCAAACACAAACACTGGGTTTCTTTCTGTTGAAAAAGAAGCTTTTCAGTCACGGAAGGAAAGGTTTGTTGGTCTCATTTTGACTTAGCCTTCCACTGAATACAGGCTGTGTGTTCTCGTAATGTGGTATGAGATGTGTGGCAGCTCTGTTAGTTTCCTGAAACATCAGAAAATTGTCTACCTCTCGCAGTACCTCTAAGTATCCAAAATGCCTTCTTATGGCTTCTAAACGAGCAATATCCTTGACTTAATCTCCAGGGTGTTCAGCGTCTTGTGTGTCATTATATATATTTTCTTAGTCAAGTAGCTCTTCATCTGAATGTCTGGTGAGAAACTTTAAATGTCTATACCAGAAAACAGTTATGTGATCGGTATCCGCAAGTAAGTTAGTTATGTTTAAACAGGTTTGTGTTGGAGAGAGAAGGGAGTGGGCTCCTCCTCAAAATCCATTTGGGAGCAAACTTGGCCTGCCTTGGTCTTTGCTGTCATTTCTAATGCATTTGTGGCTCCATCCCTCCTTTATCATGCCCAGCTGACAATTAATTTTGCCATGTACTTTCCCTGATTTGTGACTGTGCAAATCTCATCCTACTAGTGCCTCCGGTGGTTGTCCCAATTAAAAGCAGGGGTTAGATTTGCCTAGGCAAGTGGATTTTTCTGAATGTGGAAAACCGTTTTTAATGTGGAGACTTTATTCCTTTTCTTCCAATGGAGGCAGGTATCCTTAAATAATGAAGTTGTGTCTCTGACAAAACGATTATTTCAGGGACTTTTTCTAAATCCCTGAGGCCTGCAGTTTGGATGTAAGAGTGGGAGGCAAGAGTAGGGTCCTCACTTTGTGGTGCTCTCACAGTTGTGTTTTATCAATGTGAGTGCATGGAATTGACCTCTATGTGCTTGAAAAGAAAATCTGTCCATCTCTGTATGACTTCAGGGGTTTTTAAGCAAGAATTGAGTAGTAATAAGTAGAATTCAGATCTCAACTAAAAGGTCTATTTACTTAGGAATATACCTGAGGCATGCCCAGTTTTAAAGGTAGGCAATGTATAACAGAGGTCTGTGGCAAACCAGTTTTGCCAAACTAATTATTTTTTTCCTCGCCTCTTTTTTTTGTATTATGATAGGAGATTCATTTTGGTCCCTGTGTAGGTTCTTCAGGCTCTCAATAAGCTAACTTTCAGCCCAGGAGATGGTCATCTTTATCCTGCTATATTAAAGTAATTCTTCATTATCTCAGGGGAAAAAAATCATTGTTTGAGTGTATTTATTCAGTCTTTTTATTTTTGCTAAGTTTAACAAATTTGAATGCTAAAAGTATTTTACAGACCCTGTAAAATGACCCCCCCACACACACACATACACACAAAAGGTAGTTGTACAGTCAAAACAAGACAATTTAACTCTTTTTTTGTTTTGTTTTTAATGTCCTTGTGTTTTGGTGGGCATTGCCTGTGTTGAACAGCATTCTTAGAGCAGTAGTTCTGAAATTTAGTATTACACCTGATGCAGGATGATATACTTCATTTAAGATACGCAATATTTATAACTCAGTGAACAAGTGTATCCACTATATTCACTTCCTAAGAGACCCGAGGTGGTGAGAGGTGCAGGCAGGAGTGCAGCACTAGCAATCGCAGGGCTGAGGCAGCTAAGGCATTCGGGTCTGGAGAC